TAAGAAGTATCACAGCTTGGTTTGCATGTCAAGTGAATTACTGTACTCATTCTTATCTTTGGAATCCAAGACAATGCCTTAACATGTCTATATATATTATATGACTTACATAGTCATATTATGTAATATTTATTCATAAACATAACCATTGTGTACAGTTAGAGAAGTAGAGTTGAGGTATTAAATACTAATTAATTAAGGTTAGGTTTGGAATTCTTAAGTTAACTGAGCATTAAAGCAATTAATTATTCTGTGCTATTGGTTAATGAGACTATCTATACATGTACTATCTATACTTACTGGGTAGAATGCTTCAAGTAACAATATTTCTCTTTATTTGACTTTCTTTGTAGAACCTGTTGTTTTTTTTTTAAATTAATGTAACTTCTGATGACCTTCACCTTTCAGTATTATTGATTTGTTGATGCACTTTAATTTTTTTATCTTGATGCTCAATAAATTCTTTGATGTAAGATTTTTTTTTTTACACTGAAATTGTGTTTCTATGGGACACGTCACAATTTATTGCAGACAAAGAATCAAGCACAATCAGTTATCAACTGTTATTTACTGAACTATTTATCACATGCACTCATTCCCACCAAACTTTATACTCCAGCTTTACGTCTAGTGTTGACTTATTGCTTTACATTCTCTCATTAGATCAAAGATAGAAGAAATCCATGAGATGGATTCAGGTTTATGTTTTATTGTTAACTGTTTGGTCTCCTTTAAAATGGGTGGTCAAAAGAATTTCTTTTCATCGGATAAAGTAAAAGTGCCCCTTGTATACCTTGCAATCTATGGAGGAAGATGTTTCTATAGCCGACAGTTAATGAGGGTGTCATGTGGCCAGCACACCGACCAACAGCCTTTACTTCCCCAACGTGTGTCAGGTAGAGTTATCTCCTTTCCTAATATCTGAGAAGACACAAAACCACAGTGCAAAGCACCCTGGGTAACAGAAGCGGTCATCATTGTTACATAATGAACAAACTGTATATGATAATTGCTTTGTGACATTATTGTCTGCAACATTTGTGATCGTCCAGTTTCTTTGATTTTGGAAATATTGTACAAGACACTTTACATCACCTTACAATTTGAATATTTTATCTATACATTTATTTGAGTTTTGGCTTTCTGCATATGAACTTTACTGCAATATTTCTTTACATTTATTTTTTCTTCCTTTTCTTCTATAGTATTTTATTTAATGTAACTCTCCTATGTTTTGTGTTGGGTTGAGCTTTTTAAAATGCTTTTGTTATATGTTGGGTGAAGTTGCTGATTTACTTTTGTTTAAATTCTAGAATAGTTTCTGTTGTATCAAGTCTTTCATTTACTTCACCTATTCTATCCAGCTTCCTGCTGGTCCCCACCTCATTAGAATAGTCAGCCATCAATGATTCTCAAGTTGTTGAGACCATCCAGCTTCCTGCTGGTCTACTCATTAGATTAGTCAGCTATCAATGATTCTCAAGTTGTTGAGACCATCCAGCTTCCTGCTGGTCTACTCATTAGATTAGTCAGCTATCAATGATTCTCAAGTTGTTGAGACCATCCAGCTTCCTGCTGGTCTACTCATTAGATTAGTCAGCCATCAATGATTCTCAAGTTGTTGAGACCATGTAGATCTAAATATGATCACAGACCATCGCTAAAAAAAATAGTGTGCCAACTACAGCACTTTTTAGTGATGCAAAGAAAAACATTTCTTGTGCGTGCATTCATGAATATTGTTTGACATCCTTTTCTTAGACACCATGATAAAGTCTATGACCCTGAGGTGCTCATTGATAAGATGGGTTTAGACATTTTTGGGGAAATGAGGAAATGGCCTGTGAACATGTGATTGAGGTTGCTCTGTGGCCCAACTAGAATATGGTCTGGAAATTATGATGGTCAGTAGTCAGTGATGTGATGTCAATAGTAACCTCACTAGTTGAGATAGTTTGTACTAGAGAAGAATACAGTAGCCAAACATATTAAATCCATTTCATTTATTTTATTGATCATTTCAACTCCTAGCCCTCTTGTGTGCCTCATATGCTTAACCTGGCAGAACTGTTATTAGTGACAGAAGAAGGGGCAAAGCCAAGCAACTGGTGCCTAAACCAGTAAGCTTCAGGCAGGAGAGTTGTTAGCCTTTGGTGGCTGCTTATCTAATAGAAGGCTCTGAATCCTACATTAGCTAACTTAAGCATGAGAAAGGCATAGAGAGTCAGTAAAGTAAAAAGTTTCCTTTTCAGACCTTGCGATCTATGGTGCAGATGATGTTAAGGTCATCTGTTTCTATGGCCAACGTTTAACAAGCGGGTGTTATGTGGCCAGCACAACAACCAACCGCCTTTACTTTCCCCAACTAAAGTCAGGTACCCATTAGAGTTGGGTGGACTCAGGGGCGCCCTAAAAATCACGAAATTCAAAATCCCAGTCTTCACCAAGATTTGAACCCAGGATCCCAAGTTTGGAAGCTGAGCGCTTAACCACTCAGCCACTGTGCCCCCAACCACTCAGCCACTGTGCCCCCTTAGAGAGTCAGCCCAAGGAAAAAACGAGCTAGTGACCCTTAAAAGTAAAGTTCCCATTCAGATCATGTGATCTATAGGGCAGATGATGTAAAAGGCCATCTGTTTCTGTGGGTGTCCATAAAGGTGTCATGTGGCCAGCACAACTACCAACCCCGCCTTTACTTTTCCCCAACTAATGTCAGGTACCCATTAGAGCTGGGTGGAACCAGAGGCACCTAAAGAAACTGGAATTAAAAATTCAGGATTCAAACCTGAGACCTTGGTTTGGAAGCCAAGCGCTTTACCCCTCAGCCACTGTACTTCACAGTGACCCTTAGGCAGCTTGCAAAACACAATCTTATATCCTGGCAAAACCTGCCATGCTACTGATCCCAAGCTGCTTTGCTATTAAGGTGTTCCTATGGACACATTTGTGTGCTAGAGTGATGTGCAGTTGTGGGTGACATTTTTCAGGTCATAGTCAGTGCCCAGGTGTTCATCTCCTTACATTTGCTCTATGAGATGAGCCCTATTCGTTCTATGAATGGTGGAGGCCAGTCAGAATAGAGTAGAAAAGTTCAATTTTTCTGGACTTTCTTTTTGCTATTATCACATGATCCACAACAATTTGACCTTTTTGCACTTACCTTTAGCTTTGAATGCAATAGAACAAGTATTAATCTCAGATGTTTGATGCTTAAATAGGTCAATGACATCTTCAAACTAACAATTTAAAAGAAAGAATAATTGTAAGCTGACTATTTATCAGCCTCTAGGCATCATTTTATTATTTATGTTGTGTTACTAAGCTGTTTTGTTTGTTAACATATCGTTTAGAAACTTTTTTTTTTTAATTCGAAATAACTAAAGTTACATTTAAAAGGTCAAGAATGTTACTGATTCATGTTATGTTTGCCATTTTTGTTATTGAAAACATTTGAGACTATTAGAAAGGAGAGTTTTTATGATTTCTTGAGCAGAGGTTTCATCCTTGACTTTGATAATTGTCTTGGACATCCTATTCAAAATTGCCTGCTTTTATAATGAACTAGCAGATAAGAGGGAAGATAACCCAGGGTCCACAATGTACAGAACGCTGCATAAACATTTGATGCTATTCTCAACTCAGGCTTATTGTTCTTGACTTGTTGATTCCAAGTGCTTCCTATTCTAACTAGATCACACGTTTTCATATTATATTGGTCTCTCTCTCTATATATATATTTATACTTAGTACCGTACATTACAATCTATTGTGTAAATAGGGTTACTGCTGGTTCTATTTACCCATCATTTGAAACCTTTCATTAATTTTTTTTTAACTGCTAATTATCCAACAAGATTTCTCTATTACATGTACGAGCTTTTCCTAGTCTATGCCAAACATTTACACTGTATTGTCATCTTATTTTGATACCATATATTTAACTTTGCTTAATGAGAAATGCATTCATTAATCTCCGAAGAAAAACTTAGCAAAATACTGATGCTAAAAAAGTAATTAGGTCATTACTGTGTCTTCAGAGACATACCTTCTTTAACATTTGCACCCAAGGATAAGGTTATTACTTTCATCATTACTTTATGTCAGCAACTAAAACGAACAAACAAAAAAATTTTACTTGAAATTGTGTTAGCAACTAGAAGATTTAGATTCTAGCAAATATTGAAACAACATCCAAATATAAACACATTCTTATCCTTTTGACTAAATGTTTTCCCTGGATTTGATCTTGTATTCCAATTTTTTTTTATTTCTGAAACTTGACTCTCTAATATATTGTCAACCTGCAGAAGAAACTGAAACTTGTAGTTTAAAAAAGTATCTAATAAGGTTTATTGATAGATATTGGTGCCTACTGCTGCAACTGATACTTAGACTGCTATTTGATATTGAGCTATTTTCTGCAATAATTTTTTTAATTTCATGATTGTTTGTTTCTAATTTACATGAATGTAAACAATTTAGTTTTGAATGTAGAGCATGTCAATTTTTTAAACTCCATGATTTGGAGAAGACAAAGTCTGGAGTTGACTAATAAAAGACTCATGAGTACTGCAGTGTAAAACAGTTGTAGGTATTGTGTTGAGACTCAAGAAACATTTGTAGGAACCAATGGTGTTTGCTTTTACAAATACTAAAGAAACATTTGTAGGAACCAATGGTGTTTGCTTTTACAAATCCATTTTTTTTTTTTGTTGGCTTCTATCATGCTGAAACAAATCACAAAATTGTAGATTTTTGGTCTATCTTATTTGCTAATGCTATGCAATAAACTATTATAAATTTTTTTAAAAAACTTTTAGCTTTGTTTTTTTTTTAATACTATAGACTTAATAAAAATATTGTAATAAAATTTTGACCACACATTGAATCAAATTTGACAGACTTTGTTCAAGCCTTTTTAATAAATGACTTATTGAAAAAAAAAAAGCCATTTGTAATTGAATCCAGTCTGTAACATATACACAGTGAACAAAAACCTGATGATTGTATGGAGATAGTTTAATAGTTTGTACAAAATATAGCATCACTACATTATGTGTTCACCAAGAGAATTATGGGATAGAAAGGAAGTAACATCAGAAACAACATACTCTAGTGGATATTGTCACTGAACTATGTACATACTCTAGTGGATACTTGCCTTGATCAATATACAAATGACTTCAGTGGATCTCATCAATTTACTGTGTGGGAGACCAAAGATCAACAACTACAATTTACAATTAGATGTTAAAACAATACATTCTAAACACAATCACTGGTTTGGTGTGAAGGCACTGAACTATGTATTTCAAAACTTGAGCTGTTCTGTGCATGCAGTGTATTCAATTCCCATGAAAAACCAAAAGGTGACTCAACACTATTTGATCACTTCACTATCCTAACTTTTAACAGCAGTTAGTTGCATAAATAGTTCTGTACATATATATATATATATATATATATATATATATATAAACAAACCAACTTATAGTGAAACTCATCCCGTGTAGCTACTATCTAGACATGAGTGTTACAGTGCTAGACAGCAGTGTATTCTAGAGGAACTACTGGGCACAACCTAGCAATCATTTCTACAGATATGTACACAACGTTTGGAAAAATGGGTGGGGGAAAAGTACAAAATATGTTTCTAAAAATGGGAATAAGAGTACAGGCAGGCTACACAATAACAAATAAATATGACAGATGCAATAATGTCAGCTTCTAAATGATAGAAACAAGAATGTCATCTTCCAAACAATAATATGAATACATTATTTATACTTAGACACGTGTCTAGTGTTTTAACTGAGTATTAAGAATAATCATAGATGTGTTGGCTAGCTAGAGACACACACAGACATGACACATTAGGTTGTGTTGGCTAGCTAGACTCACACACAGATATGACACATTACATTGTGTTGAATGTTAAGAACTTCAACAGACAGGCAAGTGACACAACCACCCCACCAATATACAAAAGATAGTATGCAAGTTGCAGTCATTTAACATCTTATGCAGTCAACTTTAATGAAAATACACAATAGTCTGACGCAGTCAACTTAAATCTAGGTTGATATATACTGCAGTCAACTTAAATCTAGGTTGATATATACTGCAGACAACTAGGTCAAAAATATACCAATATAAAACAAGATACAAAATGATAAGTAACTAACAGGAAACGCAAATCCTAAACAAAACAAGGGTGAGGAGGTATTTGAATACAATGTTTTTTTTAGTAACAACATAACCAAAAGACAGAATGAAGTTCCTTGTAAATATTTTGACCAGCAAAACTTTTACTGTCAACATAATGGAAACAAATCAAGATGAACAATAAAAGAATGTCCAATTCTATGACAAGCATTATATATATATTATATATATAAATATATATAAATGTAACTCGTACAGAAGCTTGTTAGATTTATTCCTTTTTATAACAATACAGATATGAAGATACTGACCATAGAATAAGAGTGAAAATAAAAAAGTACACACCAGGACATACTGACCATAAGTTGGGCTGGTTATAATACCAGCATGTATTATACTATAATATATTATACTATAATACTATGAATGATGTGATCACAACACTGTAGGATGAAAAGACTTAGTCACTGCATAAAACATTACCAGAAAATAAAAAGATGTCAATAAAAAAGGCACAATTCATCGATAGCTTTTGTTTTTTGCCACTCAGCGGAGGTTTGTAAAGAGATAGACCATATTTGTATCAAGTGATGAAATCTAAAAACAAATATCTGAAGTAACTTTTCTAACATTCAACATGTTTATCAACATCATACAATCAGTCACCTTTTTATCAACATCATACAATCAGTCACCTGTTAATCAACATCATACAATCGGTCACCTGTTTTTCAAAACCATACAATCAATCACATGTTTTTCAACACCATACAATCAGTCACTACTAATCTAAATACACACAAGACTTGGTAGTAGCTTCACAATAATCACTGAATGTTTAATAGGCTTTGATTCACTCAAACATAGTGCATTCATTCACTCAGATATAGTGCACTCTTTCACCTAAATTAAACACGTTAAAACGACCATTTTTTTTTTTAATTATGAGAGAAATAAATATTCACCAATTACTTAGACAATGTTCCAGAGCTGTTAACAAGTTCAACACATTAAGATAATATTGTGCATCCGTTCAACTGATTTCCCAACCCCACCATCAAAACCACATACATCATTAATTAAAAATAACTAATTAAAAGTCATTTATTTTTACAAGTGAATTTGCCCCATACTTTAAGCCTTAACATCAACTTAAATTATTATCAAAATTATGACAATTAATGATAAGGTCTCATACATTTGGAACTTTGACTAAACCAAACAACTTGGTACAATAACTAACTATTGCTTTTATTATGGCAACTGGAAGGTTTAGTTCAGGACATCACTGGCCTATATGCACATTTTCTCAAACACAGAAAAACTAGAGTGTTCACACTGGTGATGACTGCACACTAGAATTGACCAACACAATGAGTGACCAGCACAGCAATGAGTGACCAACACACTATGAATGACCAGCACACTACTAAAGTGACCAAGCAGACTACTATGATTGATGGATATTTCAGATCACATGCCAACAAAAAAAAACAAAAAAACACATCAATATTAGAGGCAAAGGGAGGGGAATATAAGGTAAAGTCCACTCCCCCCTTTTCTAAGCAACTCTTCCTCCGACTTGTCTGTTAAGCTCTGAGCTAACTTCTCACTGCTCTCGGTATTCTGTTGACTGGGGTTAAACAAACATCACGCAGTCCAACGACTGGATAAACAAAGTGATCACATTGTCCACAGATTGGGTTCACGATTCCCCATCATACTGACTATAAATGATGCAGGAGACATAAGTGCCCTCTTGGCTGGACGGCACCAGCACAACAAAGCAGCAGCGGCTGTAGACCCATCTTAAACAAGATGTGCTGAGGTCAAACAAACGATCCAGAGACTTTCTGGCGTGTCATACTTCCTCTCCAAGGCGTGTATCCAGGAAAAACGCTCCCATTGTTTGATTGATACTTTTAGATTTGTTCACAGACGGAGATTGTGATCTTGCAGTGCTGTTGGCCAGCATCTCTACAGACAGCTGACTCTTTTGAGAGGCTGCATTTGAGGCCCCATTTGCGTATGCTGAATATGAAAGTAAGGGTGACAGTTGGTCACCATTGATTTGTGATCTTCTGACCAAATCATTGGAGAGGCTCTCCACATTCTCTGTGACATTCTGCCCTAAGACTGGAGCAGAAGCAGTGCCAGGGTAAGAGGGCAAGGCTTCAGAGGCCAAGTAGTTGTGAAGATGTTTGCTCTGAGCTGGATAAACTCCACTGGGTTGTAATGCTGTCAAGTGTCTGGAAGATGATTTTATAGCTTCAGATGGTATGACTGGTACATCCATGCTGGAGCTAGTAAAGAAAGCCATCTTCTCTCTGAAATGTAGAAACACTAAATTAATTTACAGTGCAGTAAATTCTAGCTAAGAAATACAGTGATCAAATGTTCAATAGCATGTTCCTATTTTTTTAGGCAATGTTCAATAGCATGTTCCTATTCTTTAGGCAAAGTCTGAATGTGTTAATTATCAAATTGAACAACATAAAAGAAAAAAAAGGACATAAGTAATTCAGTGCTTTTAAAGATGATTTTAAACAATTCCTTGAAGACCAAATCTGTTTTGTTATTTAGTATTTCTGGCATGATGGGATAGAAATATTATTCTAGTTGAAAAGTTACAAGTAAATGTTAGAAGAATGTGAATACTGTAAAACAACAAAAAACTGGAACGATTTAAATTTTGTATAAAACAATTCCAAGGCCAAAGGAGTTAAAATGGCTAGTGCCATTAGAGCAGTGTTTCGCAAACTGTATTCTGTGTGTTCCATGAGGCCTGAATAGGTGGATCATTAACTAGTAGGCCACCTTGGGAATTCATCTCTCTAAAAAAATTAATCAAATTGTTCCACTAAATACTCAGAATGTGCAAAGTGTTCCATTAAGCAAAGGGTCTAGGATTCAATAAATTAAAGGATGGAATGGGTTGCCTGAATTAGCCTGGAAAACCAATGAAATTGCAGAGTTGAAGTCTAATTTACATGCATGACTAGATTGACACCTGAAATGCACAGGACGCAGTTATTTTTCCTTCTGAAGTAATTGATAAGAAGATAAGAGACTGCTTAAGAATTATTTCCTGATCAAAAAACCAAACAACTTCCCCCTGACAGGACTGTCAACTGCAGACCACTAGACATTTTATTTGCCAGTGTTCTCTTTTGTCAAATGCAACAGTAGAGGCAATGTTTTAACAAATTCTCTTTAAGCAGAACAATAATGAAGAGCCATCAAGCCTCAAAGAAGAGAAGACAAAATAAAAATAAGAGTTGCCCTAGGTATGAAAGAAGACTCACATCTGTCACTTTGTGGCCTATCCTCCTACATCAGCAAGTATTAAGTGTGTATTGAACATTTTTTTGAGTAACAATTATTTTTCTCATCTTCTATTTAAATGTCCTAAGCATTGATTGATGTTTATTTTTAATGTCCTAAGCTTTGATTGATGTATTTTTTAAATGTCCTAAGCATTAATTGATGTTTTTTTTAAAAATGTCCTAAGCATTAATTGATGTTTTTTTTAAAAATGTCCTAAGCATTGATTGATGTTTTTTTAAACACCCTGCTCTTGAATGAGGTGTTACCTAAAGTTAAAGGTCCTAGACTGTTGAGTGCCCTGCCTCATACGCTGAACATCTTTTGTCACTTTCCTGATGAGCTGTTCAGCTCTCTTGTCTTGCCTTGAGATGTATTCCTTTTTAGCACCCTCAGGAAACACCTGAAATAAGATTCAAGCTAATAGACTCTTGCAAAACAACATTTTTGATTCAACTTTCCAAAAGTTCTGGACGTCTAACACATTATGACATTATATTTTACCATTTTTTCTGCCATCGCCAGGAGCCGATGAAATTTTTCATTTTCTGACAGCCAATCTGGCAAGTCTCCTTCACCTATTGAACAAATTGAGTTTGATTACAATGTTACTGAGGTGATAACTATTCTTATTACCTGGCACAATTTTAGATCGTTGCTAATGTTTTCAAAATGTTATATAGATACAATAATTTTTTTAAAAAGAAGTTCTACGGAACAAAGCCTCAGGATTGTCTACCTTTACTTTTGGTTTCCTCCAAGGTTCGTTTCAGTTCTTTCAACCTTGTGATCTCATCATTCAAATGAGACAACTTTGTATGGAAGGCTTGAAGATCAAGTTCAAGGTCAAGGGATGTTCGGAATGGTAGCTGACTTGAGAGTGGCATCATAGCTATTGAACCATCAGCCTTAGGATTAGAAACAACAATAAAAATGACTATATGAACACATACTTGATTCAAATCTACTCAGAATAATATTCACACATTCTAATATTATTAACTATTTCTAAAATGTACACCAGACCTGTAAATAGTCAGACAAAGAACATTCAGAAAACAATGGTCATACAAACATTTTATTTTTGTAATTCAAAGTTAAACTTTGTAACATTAACTTGTAAAGACTAAAAGATTTAATTGCAAAGACTAAGTTTAGTCTGAAAATATTCAAATGTAGACTAACCCTCTTCCATCTCAGACTGCGTCTGCTGACAGAGTTCCTCTGAAATGGCATTCTTTTGTAGAGTGGCATGGAACTGTCACTGTCACTCCGATTCAACTAGAGACAAGAGAAAAAAGATTTAGTTGTACATAATAGAATTTTATGCTAATCCTTGCGCATATATATAAACTGATCCTCGCCTACATTATAGACTACCTTCTTACCTTACAAACATAGCCAGGAGGTGGTTGCCGACAAGCTGGGGAAAATGTTTGCGAACGCCTGATGGTACTGCTTCGTAAGGTGTTGGCCTGTCTGTGCTGGTAATGATGGTGATGGTGTGTGCCTCTGTGCTTGTACTCCCGCAGCCTGTAGTCTCCTAGCTCTGTGTTGGTTTCTTTATCACACTTAGAATTGAGCAGACCTTCCTCTGTCAGCTCCTCATCCTCAAAGTTGTCCACAGAGTCAGCCAGCTCTGTG